TGTTAGAATCATGTCTTGCGCGTGTGCTGTTCGCAGGGCGCTCAGGCAGGTTTGTGGTGTAACTTGTCGAAGCTTCTCCAAAGCTGTCTGTCTCACTACGACCGGGAAGAAAGCTTAAAAGACTGTCTCAACATGACCCGTTTTCCTGCGAAAGGGTGAGTTTCATCTTCTGCCGCCAGAATTGCCGCATAATTTACTTTCTGCTCGCTGCTTTGCAGGTACGTGAAGCCGGAGACGAAGTCGTTTGTTATCGATTGCGAAGCCGTGGCGTATGATCGGGTCAAAGACAAGATCCTGCCCTTCCAGGTGAACCCCGCTTGTCTGCTCAAACTTTGCCGCATTGAACCGTGTTGTGAGATGTTGGTTGTTCAAGATTTGTAGTGATATCCGAGAATGCAGGATCAAGAACCGCCAAGAAACGTCTGCCTATTGAGAATCTTTTGGACTTCAAAGGTTGGTTCATTCAGATTACGTGCTCGGCGCATACGCCGCGGCAGGTTGAAGGGGGGCTCGTGAAGCAGCGCACAAGAACGGCGGGAGAAGGTGTAGTTTGTCGATTGTCTCTTAAAATCCTGATCTTATTGGTGATCCAAGTGCTCAGCACGCACGCAAGCAAATCAACTGGCGGATATGAGGTTCCAGCTGGGCTCCTACGGATTTCACCTCGTACCGCTCGATACGGAGGGGCTTAGCTAATTGTTTACTCACTTCTATATGAGGCGAATTCGTCTCTTCCCACCTAGGTGTTGAGCACGCGCGCCCGAAAGCAGGTCCAGACGGCGGACATCAAGGTGCAGCTGTGCTTATACGCTTTCGACGTGCTGTATCTGAACAGAGAGGCACTCGTCGAACAGCAGCTGCGAGAACGGCGCGAGAAGACGCACCCTCAGAAAACTGCGTTCCAACTTTTTATCGCTCCTCCTTTCAGGTGCTGAGCACACGCGCGCGGAAGCAGGTCCAAACGGCGGTTATTAAGGTGCAGCTGTGCTTATACGCGTTCGACCTGCTATATCTGAAGGGAACGGCGCTCGTTAGAACAGCAGCTGCGAGTACGGCGCGAGAGAATGCACCCAACAGCCAGACCTGACCCCTTCGGTTTCAATTTTCAGGTCCTGAGCACACGCGCGCGGAAACAGGTGCAAAC